AAAAAAATTAAAAAAATCGAGGATATAATGGGAAAATCAAAAATATATAGATTAACTGAGAAATCAGAAAACTGAAAATTTAGCAACGTCAAAAATTGAAATATTGAAAAATAGAAATACTGAAGAACCGAAAAATCAGAAAATCCAGAAATCGAAAACTCTAAAATTTAAAACATTGAACAAGTAAAATATCGCAAAATTGAAAAAATCGAGAAGTCCAGATCTCAAAAAAAAACAAAAAGAGATCTAAAAACTTAGAGTGTTGAAAATTGAAAAATTAAAACATCGAAAAGTTGAAAAGTTGAGAAAGTCGAAATATTGAAAAATCTAAGTTTTGACGAAAAATTGAATATCCAAAATGTAAAAAATCATCGAGAAATAAAAAAATCCAGGAGTACAAAAATCGAAAATCGAAAAATCTAAATACTGAAAAACCCCAAAACTGAAAGCAATGCCCAAAAAATTGAGAAATTAAAAAATTGGAACATTGAGACATCGAAAAACTAACCAAGCAAAGTCGAAAAATTTTTAGCTTAAAAAATTGAAAAATCAGAAATCTGAAAAATCGAAAAATTGAAGAATTGAAAAAAATCAAAACTTTGGGGAGTCGGAAAATTGAAATATAGAAGAACTGAAAACTCAAGAAATCGAAAAACCTAAAATTTTAAAATTGAAAAGTTAAAATATCGAAAAATTGAGAAATCGAAGTATAAATCAGTCGAAAAATTGAAAAATCTAAAATTTAAGAACGAAAAATTGAAAAGTCGAAAGACTAAAAAAATACTAAAACTGAAATATTGAAAAATTGAAAACAAGAAGAAGAATTGAAGAATCGAAAAACTGAAAAATCACAAAATTGAACGAAACATCCAAAAATTAGGAAATCAGAAAATTGACAAATCGATAAATCAAAAGATCAATAAATCGTGGAGTCGAAAAGTTGAGAAACCGAAGTAGGCCAAAATCGAAAAGTTAAAAATTGAACAATTTATAAACTGAGAAATTGACAATCAAGATATCGAAAAATCCAAATCTCGATAAATCAAGAAATCAAAAAACTTGAGAATTGAAAGATCAAAAGAACGGGAAATCGAAAATTGATGAGTCGAAAAATAGAGAAATCGACAAACAAAAAGTTAAAAGTGAAAAATTGGAAAAACTGAGAAACCGAAGTAGGCCAAAATAAAAAATTGAAAAACAACATTTAACCAGGAAGTCGAAAAATCGAAAGATTAAGAAATATTGAAAAACTAAAATATCAAAAGATTGAAAAATTTAAAATTTAAAAATCCAAAAATTGAAAAATCGAAAAAGTAATAAGGGAGACACATCGAAAAATCCAGAAGTCAAAAATAGAAAAGCCGAAGAATTGAAATATTGAAAAATCCTAAAACTGAAAAATCGAAAAATCAAAAAAGTGAAGTCGAAAATAGAAACCTTAAAAAATCGAAAAATTGAAAAATCAAAAACCTGAAAAACCAAAAAATTAAAGAATTGAAGAACAGGAAAATCGTAAGACTCGAATGCCAAGAAATGGAAAAATCAAAACATCGATTAATTGAAAAATCGGAAAACTGAAAAGTCGAAAAATCTAAAAGTCGAAGAATCGAAATATTGAGAAATTCCAAAACTAAAAGAAATATCCAAAAATTGAGAAATTAGAAAATTGAGAAATCGAAAAGCAAAAAAAAAATTCGAAAAATCGAAGATTGAAGAACACAAAAAATTAAACAATTTGAAGTCAATAATGGGAAAATCAAAAATATATAGATTAACTGAGAAATCGGAAAACTGAAAATTTAGCAACGTCAAAAATTGAAATATTGAAAAATAGAAATACTGAAGAAGCGAAAAATCAGAAAATCCAGAAATCGAAAACTCTAAAATTTAAAACATTGAACATGTAAAATAACACTCGAAGGTCAAGAAATGGGAAAATCAAAACATCGAGCAATTGAAAAATCGAAAAATTGAGAGTTTATAAAAGTCAAATTTGAAAAATTAAAAAATCGAAAATTTGACAAAATGACAATTGAAAAACGAGAAGTCGAAAAACAAAAGAATAAAAAATCGAAACTGAAAAATTCGAAAACTTGAAAAATTGAAATATCGAAGAACTGAAATGAAAAATTGAGAAATCTAAAATTTAAAAATCGAAGAATTGAAAAAACGACAATTGAAAAACAGAAAATCTAAAACCGGGAAGTCGAAAAATCGAAAGATTAAGAAATCGAAACATTTGAAAAATTGAAGTATGGAAGAGCTGAAATGAAAAATCGAGAAATCGAAAAATCAAAAATTTTAAATATTGAAAAATTAAAATACCAAAAAATTGAGAAATCTTAAATTTAAAAATCGAAAAAGTAAAAAGTCGGCACATCGAAAAATCCAAAAGTCAAAAATGGAAAAGTCGAAGAACAGAAATATTGAAAAGTCCCAAAACTGAAATATCGAAAAATTGAAAAATGAAAGAAAAACTGATTAAACTGAAAAATCCCAAAACTGAAATATCCAAAAACTGAGAATCCAAAGAGTCGAAAAATTGAATAACAAGTACACTGAAAAATCCCAAAACTGAAATGTCCAAAACCTGAGAAATTAAAAAATTGAAAAATCGACAAATAAAGAATTTATAAAAGTCAAAAATTGAAAAATCGAAATATTTAAAAATCGTAAAATTGAAGAGAAAAACTGAAAACCGAGAAATTGAAAAATTGAGAAATTGTAAAATTCAAAAATTGAATAATAAGTAGGAGTAAACTGAAAAATCCCCAAACTAAAATTTCGAAAAACTTAGAATTCGAAAGTTGAAACAGCCAGAAATTATGGTCGAAACCGGTTAGGATGTGTATTACATCACAGATCATAGCTTATAAATCAAATCGTTTCCGAACGCTTAGAGTCGACATTGGCCTGAGCGCGCTGTGGTCTGTAGATCAAACGAGTTCTCAGACGACGAACTGTCGAAAGTAAAACGCGTCGTTAAAAATATTTTTCCTAGTTAATTTTATTCCTAGTTAGAAACAAACACTGTTGCCAACTATGACGCTTCTCCATGTTCTCTGGTTTAACGCCCGGAAGCGGAATCCGCATAACGTCTTAATTCGCCCGCGTAAACGTCAAAACGCTGTAAAAGTCCGCAATGAATACGTTCGATGCCGGCTACCGACCCTCAACAAATTACGAAGTTTACGGTTTCAATTCGCGCATTTATAAGCTCTAACTTTTACGGGCGGCCCGGTTTTTAATGGGCTATATATGAGAACGTGTCGAAGTCGTTACGTAACACCTTACAGGACGTCGAGGGCGATTTGAGGATTGGCAGCAGGCCGCGATTGAATGCTATTGTTGCGGGTGGTTGTTTCTGGTTTTATGTCGTCAGTCGACAAAGTCAATTGCAGCCACTATAGCGACTTTATCTCTAAAGCTCATTTTATCTTTATTACGAGACCACATTTTTATGGCGCAACCTTCCAGCTGCAATAACAAAAAAATATTACAACACAAAGAAATTGGTTTTTCTTAGATTAAATAAAATGGAGGCGTTGCGGCTGCGGACGTTTCGTATACAGAGAATACTGCGTTTACCGAACACATGGAGTGCACTATTTCCGGATTCACACCCGCAAGCGCCGGATTTATGGCTCGGAAAAACTTAAAACAATGTCCACATTTGCATAAAAAAGCCCGTAAAAACGCTGAAAATCACGGAATCGTAAATCGTGATGCCGGAGACAGATTATAACAATGTTTGAGGTCTGCTTGAGCAAACTACCACAAAACCTTCCGTGGGTCAACATCAGCGAAGATTTTGCACACATAAAGGGTAGACGAAATAAAGTATTATTTGTTCTCTGGCTGTGCAAACGTAGCGAAAATTAGTTCAAAGGAGCGAAGAAATCCGAACAATACGTTTTCCATTGACGCTATTTGATGCACCTGGACCCTTCAGTGCACGTCAGAGCAAATTTAATTAACCCACCCTGTGTGCATTCGTCGAATTTCGCCCGTGTGTTTGTGATGCTCCATAAACAGACCGTCGCCGGTAATGAGCGCTTGATTTATGACGGACCATCGATTTGCTGTCCGGATTTTGACGTTTTTGAATCGAAGTGGACAAAGGCTATTAATCTCGGTATTAGCGTTTCATCAATAACACTTACCCTCCGTTCCGCGCTGGAACCACAAGTGTTTTCAATTTTAGCATGCCTGATGAATATTGAAAGGCAAAAGTTGTAATTCGTTCCGAAGATGAGGTATTTAATTACAAAAAGTTCGAAAACCAACAACAATGCTTTAATTAAAGTCACGGAACGAGCTGGAACTGAAAGAATCGCCGCTGCTGAAGTTGGAGGAGAAAATTCTGTTGCCGTGAAAATTTAATTGGAGCGGGGGGAGGCTAATCTCGAACTTTGGTGTGTCCGTCGCTGGTCCGTGCGTCCGTCCGTTTTAATAACGCGTCGTAATGAGAGCGCTTTCCGCACAATCGAGCGCATAACCCATGAACGGGCACCGAGTACCATTTACATAATCGGAGCTGGGACGGATTGCCGCTTTAATTGTGCATAATCATTTAATATTTAGTTTTCGGCGAAATGTAAATTTCGTCTCAGAGCTCGTTCGGAGAATGTTTATTCGACTAACGGCGTCATATTTTCATGCGAACTTCCCAATTTTAACCGCACTTGCACACCATTTGCCATTATTTATGGCTGATGCCCCGAATTATTAGATAGGGGCCGACCGGCTTTGAAATTACATGTCATATCACACTGCGCCAACTTTACTCCGCCACTGGTTGCCATGGGTGAAATTTGCATTTCAAATGGGGAGTCGCAGAAATGTAATTAAAAGGCGGCGACTACGCCTAGTGACGCTATTCCTTCTACGACGAGCGGATTCCGCAGAGAACCGCAGTTCCACTCCACCCGCGACCACGTTGTAGCTGTATTTAGACAAGTTTTTTGTGCGATTTTCGCTAATATGTTTTTTTGTTTCAGGTGATATAACGCAGAAAGGATATGAGAAGAAGAGAACAAGACTTCTATCCCCTTACGTGCCTAAACAAAACACAAGTAAGTTGAGTCCCCGACGACACACTTTATAATATATGTATCCGAAAAAACTACACAACAGTCGTTCCGAGAGCTCACGCTCCTCCTGAAAAATTCACTCGCGTCCTGCAGCTGTTTTTTGCCCGGCCTATAAATATGAAATAGCGCGAGATTTCTCTTTGTGGAGTTATGGCCGGAGCTTTTGAATTTGTGACTCGATTTAGCAAAACAATCGTTTTACATTGTTTGCGGCAATTGAGAGTCGGGCACTTTCATGTCGGTCGAATGTGAAACGAATTAGTGACGTCACGTGTGTAGGGCATGATTTTTCCCGCAAATGGGAAACGGAGCGATGTTTTATGGGCGATAATTCATCGTTTCGTTGCCCGCACGGATTTTCGGGTCTCCTATTAATTAATTCTCTTCTTGCTGTGACACTTTTTGGTTTTTGCGTAACTGGAATGTTTTCTTTCGAGTTTGTTTACTAACTGCTAATGGTTTGGTAGCGCATAGTGGGGAGACGGTGACTAATTTCGGCGAAAGGGCCATCGGAATCGGACGTGCCGGTTTGATTAATCGCTCTATTTTTACGGTGACGTTTGCCCGAAATGTAAATTGTATTTTACAAGTTACGCCAAACGACACGGAATTTTCAGGATTTACATAAAAATGAAATAAACGTGCAGCCGTGAATATGGAACGTAAAATTCCGGGCTTTTACTGTTTGGAGGAATTTTATTTTGTTTAAAATTTAAACATTAAATTGGAGCTCGATGTATGCAACTGGAATCCCAACTATTGGTTGGAGTACCCTAGTCGATACATTTTACTAGGTCAAATGAACGTGGATGGATATTAGAACGAGAGAACGGGATTTTCCGATAGGCATTGATTTGAAATTAAACGGACGAACGTGGATTCGTTTGAAATGCGGGTTTGCATTTTTTTTACACTAGATGCAAGTGTATTCGTTTTTATGTTGTAAACATAAACGAAAAAAAAATTATGCAGTACATGAATAAACATCAGGAAATGAATAACAGTAGCTTCAAATGGATTAGTTAGTGGAATTTATCGCCACAGTTAATTAAAAGTTCCTGTTGGTTTCCATTTTTGGTTGCCTTTTACTATTTATGTAAAAAAGTAGGTCCTGTTCACAAGCTTTAGCACATGCTTGGCTATGCTTCTATCCCTATTTTCTAACAATATTATACAGGGTGGTGTCCTCGCTTACGTAAAACACAAGTAGGTAGACACATTTTACAATTTTCAACAACCAAATAATATTTTTTACACTTCAGAAATAATACTTAGATACTAGTTTTTATAAGTTCTCAACTACAAAGCTCAAGAGAGTAAATACATAATTGAAAATTTGGAAATCTACAAGGGGATTCAGAACACTACTGTATAATTTTGACAGCGAATTATATAACAAAAAATATGTAATAATTTTACTAAAATTATGATCATTTTTCAAAAATATAGAAAGTTCACAATTTTTAAAAAATAATTTTTAAATAATTGGCCACAGTGGAAATTAATTTTGATATTCAACGAAATTTTTGACATATTTTGCCATTAAAATTATTCAGTCGTGCTCTGAATCACCCTATAGATTTACTAAAAAATATATTTGAATTAAATCTCTATTAAGATTAGAAAAAATGACCGCGGTCTCTGTAATTATTGATGTTGTAGATGGAAAATTCGTCGACCCAGAATTTTGAAAATTTATTTTTGGATCATAATGGCCAATTTTAGAAACAGTATTGTTATTCATTTTTTAAAAACAAATTAATCTTTATTTTTCTTTAGTTTTTCGGGCACATGAACTAAAAACTATTTCACTTACGAAGTTTTTTTTTTAATTTAAGATATTTCGTATTTACAACTGTTTCAAAAATCGTACTAATAAGAAAAAACTTTTTATATACAGGGTGAATCACTAAGCCAGCACTCCTCGGTATCTCATTCATTATGAGAAGTAGAAAAAAAGTCATACAGCTATTATTTTCAATTATACCGAATGTTCTGTTTTTTAAGGTGTAACAAAATAACAAAAACATATTTAGATAGACCTCTTAGTGGTCATTATTACTGTAGTTTATTATGGAAATTTTTAGGATAGAAAGCTTAAAAAAAAATCGCTTTGGATTTATTTTTAAAGTTTAACGTAATAATAATAATAATATTTATTCATTGAAAATATTCAAAGAAAGAGAACAAAAATAGAATAAAATGCAGGGTTTTCTTATTGGAACAAACTGGAATATCGATATTTGAAAATTGTAACGTTTTAGATTTTTTCATAAACACTCTGTATACAGCGTAATGGAAAATGACAGATAAACTCGATGTTACTTTATTAAGAAGCCTCTGAAGAGCTCGAAAAAATGGTTAAAAACATGTCTGTCCCAAACGTTTGAAAATATTAAACTTCAAAGTTGAAGAATAAACTTCGTAATCCTGATTTGTTTTAATGAAATGCTTGTCTAACAGACAATTAAATAACATAATTTTTTGCCTTCGACAGATTTCATTTTCCACAATTTTAAACTGTCAATAAAATTCACATTAAAACATATCAGAATTACGAAATCCTTCAACTTTGAAGTTTTATATTTTAAAAAATTCAGTTTGGAATTTTTTTAAACTATTTTTTTAGAGTTCGTCAGAGCTTTCTTAACAACGTACCATCGAGTTCATCTGTCATGTTTTGATCACCCTGTATAAAATTTGAATTAATTGATACCACAATAAAGCGCTTTCCTCTGTGAAATTGGAATAACATGGCAACGTCGCAATAGATTTTCATAAATAAACTATGGTTATAAAGTCTGGAAAGAGGCTAATATAAGAATAGGTACGAATATACTGTTTTAATAAAAAAAAAACACCAAGTTGTGTGTTATCTCTCGAAAAGAAAACACTCTGTATAGTCCAATAATATTTAATGTATGCTCTTCAATGTAAAAAGTGCCAAAATCAGTCTTATCCTATCAAATACTAGCAACGCCCACCCACCCTGTAATTTCTTAGAGGATATGTTATTTGACAAAATCAGTATTATCCTTTTAGACAGTTGAATAATAACGTCATTTCTTACCTTTGGCAGATTTCATTTTCGACCATTTTCATCAGAACTTTAGACTGTCAATTAAATTCACATTAAAACATATCAGAATTACGAAATCCTTCAACTTTGAAGTTTTATATTTTTAAAAATTTAGTTTTAAATTTTTTTAACTATTTTTTTTTTCGATTTCTTCAGAGCTTTCGTAACAACATATCGAGTTCATCTGTCATTTTTTGATCACCCTGTATAAAATTTGAAGTAATTAATGCCACAATAAAGCGCTTTCCTCTGTGAAATTGGAATAACATGGCAACGTCACAATAGATTTTCGTAAATAAACTATGGTTATAAAGTCTGGGAAGAGGCTAATAAGAATGGGTACAAATATAGTGTTTTAATAAAAAAAAAAAAAACAAGTGGTGTGTTATCTCCCGAAAACAAAACACTCTGTATAGTCCAATAATATTTAATGTATGCTCTTCAATGTAAAAAGTGCCAAAATTTGTCTTATCCTATCAAATACTAGCCCCGCCCACCCACCCTCTCTTTTCTTAGAGGATATCTCATCTGCCAAAATCAGTATTATCCTATCAAATACTAGCCCCGCCCACCCACCCTCTCTTTTCTTAGAATATATCTCATCTGCCAAAATCAGTATCATCCTATCAAATACTAGCCCCGCCCACCCACCCTCTCTTTTCTTGGAATATATCTCATCTGCCAAAATCAGTCTTATCCTATCACATACTAGCCCCGCCCACCCACCCTCTGTTTTCTTGTAAGGTATGTCATTTGCCAAAATCAGTCGTATCTTAGCAAGTATTAGCCCCACCCACAGCCTCTCTTTTCATTCTAACAGCTAATTTTATTTCTGTTAAGTATAAGTTTTATTCTGATTGGATAAAATCAATCACTGAAAAAGAGGCAGGGTGGGTGGGCGGGCCTAATTATGTTCTCCTGTCGAGCGGGAGTGGAAACTAATAATTTCTTACAAAGTTAGTATTATCCGATCCAATACTAAAACCCTGTATTTTATTACTGCACCTTAGTCTATTTTTGTTCTCTTTCTTTGAATATTTTGAATGAATAAATATTATTATTATTATTAAAACTTGGTAGGACTGAACAATATTAAGGGTAGTCACTGGAACGAAGAAGGGGTGGGTGGGCGGGGTTACTGCTTTCTCATAGAACTAGAAAAAAGCAAAATTTAGCTCCGCCTTTCCCCAATTTCACTGACTTATTTTATTTAGTTTAAAATGAAAATTGAACAATAACAGTATTGTATTCACAAAATTTTCTCGGGAAACGGAGTGCGCCGTTCCTGCTTTAATCAATAAAATAAACTGACTCATTCATTAATTTTTTTGAGCAACCTGTTTAAGCAAAAATAAAAAATATGAATGCCATGATAATTTACAAGTATAGACTGATCATATTTTGCATATTTTGTAATAATTGCGCGATTAGTGACTCACCCTGTATATACAGTATGTCCAAAAGACTGGAATTAACCTGATCAAAATGTAGCTAATTAATTAAATTAGTAATCTTTTTTATTGCATCCTCAAAATATTTTTACTTTCAACTTTGACGTGATTCCAGACGTTGTAAGCATGCGATATACATTTTTATACAGGGTGTTTACCAAACATGGGGCAAACATTATTCCTTGAAATATTTTAAGATTTTTTTTGTCCTTCCATGACTTTCTTATCTTTTTATCTTCTGAACTAAGCGTCTTTCCGAAAATCATCCAAGGACAAAAAATCTTAAAATCACCCAAGGAAAAACTCCCTGAATTTTTGCCGCATGTTTATTAATCATCCTGTATATTTGCCTCGACTAAGGGTCTCCTTTTTAATTTTTTATTAATAAAATTCTGGCATTTTCGACAAACCTGTGCACTTTTTTTATTTTTCTTAAAAAATTATGATTAGAA